ATATATATAAATAAAGTTATATCCCGTATTATACCTATAGCAGATAATATACCTCTGCTGTGGTTTCTAAACAACATACTGGCTATAACACACAATGAGGATCATTTTACTAATTTATGGAACATTATTATGTCTAATGTCACTGCCGCAGGCATACAATAAAACCAGTTTTGGTTATAGACAACAAGTCTATTTACAGTAAACTCCCCAATATCCGGTATTCAAGGTCTCCGGCAAAAAAAACAATCGAGGACATAATTTTTTATTTTTTTTCTGGTGGATTAAACAAATGTCGGTTGCTTGGTGGTAAAAATGTAGTTAGCAATTAAATGTATATAGTTGCTAACAAAATTCTTTGTTTACACCTTGCTGCCGGCAATGGAGAGAAATAGCCAGCCTGCTATTGGCTATTTCAAATTTCAAAACGCAATCGCCAATCCCAAACAAATGTTCACATTAAATTCTAACAGTGTAAAGCCAGCTTTAGACCTCAAGTGAAGAATGTGAACCATTAAAGATCATTCTGTGGAATATTCAGATCCAAGAGGGACCAACGCAGGTCACCGTAAGGACACATACAAAGCAATTGTTTTCTATGTGTATTGGCAATGGGCTGCAATTAAATGCGAACATATTGCATTTTATCGCAGCGCACTGCATGCCACCGCGGGGACCTGAATGGAGTGTAAACATTGTACACTCTACATATAGTTAAGACATTTTTTTTTCTGGCAGTGTGCAATAGAACACACGCTTCGGGAGCTGCCACAGCACAATTGCTCACCCGCTAAAACGGGACTGTGTAAACGGGCCCTGAAATAAAGAAACTTGCATTCAGCTGCTATAATTGACTGCAGCTCTCCCATAAAACATAGGGATCGCACTATATCCAATATTATGTAGAATGACAACTGGAATATTATTGGTTACTATTGGTATCACAGGTTTGCTTCTATGAATGAGCCCCCCCGCTTTCTATTAATGGAAGTTCCAGACTGACACTCAGCTGATTAGACCCCTACGCACATAGGGCTGTTGTAGCTAATGGGATCAGATGTGTGACGATATCAGTGGTGTCAGTGAAGAGGTAATTTCTTCACACTGTGCTAGGACCTCCCATGTACTATGGTCTGGTATTATGTTACAGGATCCTGTGGGCTCATTTGGCTCAGTATTGCCCAGGCTGCGTCATAGGTTGTATCATGGATGAACTTCACCACCTTCCTAAAACTAAACGGCTTTCTGAAATCTGTACTGTATGGTGTCGTAGACAGTCATGTGACTCATGCCGTGTGTGATCATATGGTGCTACAGGCTGGCATATGCTGCAGACGTAAAGCTCACTGGGGGTTCTTGCAGAAGCTACCTGTTAGCTGCTTAAGCCGGAGCACTTTCAAGGTTAATCTTCCAGAAAACGCTGAGATTTCTCCTCTTAAAGTAGGACGTGGATCTAGCAGCTGACAAATACCTGGTAGTGACGCTTACAGAGTGCTCATATGTGTCATGCCTGCATTGCCCTCATGTTGGGTATTAGAGCATGTCATGAAAACCTCCATGTTGCTCTTGTCTGTTGTTTGATTATTTCCGTTACTAGGTTTGAATTCTTGGTGATTGCATAGTAAACGATGATTCTCGTATTGGCAACAAGACAAGTGAGCTGCTTACAAAGAAGTATATGGAAGCCCTCATACTATGTAAAACAACAACATACTTTTGGTCTGTTAAATATACCTTTAAAAGTATTTTTGTGAATTGTGTTCAGTAATTGCCAACAAATACCTGATCATCCTGCCAGAAATCCACGGAGCTTGTAACTTTCTGTGCTCTGCCTCTGCTGACTGTTATTAATTACATTAGGGGGGGAAGATTCACAGGGAAATGCATCATTTTTTTCCATGTGCCAAATCAACGATGCCATTATACAAGTTCTATGTGTTGTTGTACGAACCAAACCAAAACACCTAGTCATTGTTGAGCAGTAGAAAAAGCGCTTTAAAACGCCCAACACAAGAAATCCCAAGATTTTCAATGGCCTCTGTTCACACCTGAGCAGCAAAACGCCAAACAGAAAAAAAAGTACATGAGATTTTTTTTTCGACAGTTTCAAACTCGTTTTTCCCCGATAGACTTTAATGGAAACACCAGGAAAAGCGCAGCAGAAGCATGTTGCACATTTTCGTGCGCGTTTGTACATGTGTTCCTGCATTGACCGCAATGTTTCTTGAGCTGCTAGTTGAAACGCGCGTCTTCATTTGCTCGTGTAAAAATGTGTCAAACGTGCACAAGATCGCACGCTGAACCCACAGGTACAAAAGCACAAAACCTATGCCGCCTTAGTGTGAACAGGGCCTTATAGATGCAGTGCAGTGAGTGAGCATTGTCATATAAAAGTTATGAAAAGAAGTCCAATGTTTAGAGCGCTCTTTGGGGGGGATTCGGGTGTCGTTTGCTGGTGTGTAGCTCCTGGTAAGTGCGGACCAGGGTGTCCGATGTGTGTGCTAAAAAAACAAAAAGGAGACCGAAGCGCCACTCAGGTGGAATAGGACAAGGAGTATACGATATTGAACTCGCATGTGGGAGGGTGAGCACACGCTTCAACACGGGAACACTGTGGAAATCGTGGTGTTGTAGTATTGTTGAACGACGGGGGCTTATTCATCCTCTGGAGCAGTGGCGTAGAGGACCGAGGTGGTGACACTTCTCAAATAAACAGAAACGAATGCGACTTTTTAACTCACCGTTAGGTAAGCTGTGATGTGGTCTCAACTACGAGGTTGTTGTGCCGAGCTGGTTGCTGTCCTAGAGGCGATGTGGTGTGAAGTTCTGATCCTGAAGGTGGACAATAGATGAGAAGATTCATTTCTGAAGAAGCTTGGAGAGATTCAGAACATGAGCATTGTCACCCTAGGACAGGAAGTGTCAGGAAGACAGGAAATTGACAGGGTCACCAGGTAATGATAAAAAGAGAATATACCTGATAAAAAAGAAAACGATTTGCCGGCACCTCATCTAAGGACTGATCAGCTGCATTATATTAAATTTTCCTTCTAAGTGTTTAGATACACTTTTAAATTCCGCATTCTGCTAACACTGTTGAACTCTTTTTATTTTCTTCTTTCCTAAGGTCAGTTTTCCTGTGGGAACAAACGCTGTGATGAGAAGGAAGGCCTGAAAAGCTGGGAGGTGAATTTCGGTTATCTAGAACACGGAGAGAAGAGGAACGCTCTTGTAAAACTGAGTAAGTTGCCCCATTCAGTCTTTGCCAGATCTAGTCATGTGGAGCTAACACTTCAGAGTTTTCTTACAATACATGTAAACCCAATTACTAAAATCTCATATAAACATATATAACATGTAAATGAGCATTTCAAAAGGTCATTTTTAATTTTTTTTTAAAGAAGACTCATGGGAATTTAAAAATAATTACCCTTGCAGTGGGGTTACCCCTGCACTGCAATGGTTCAGTGCTCATTTTGTCTAGGAGCTCAAACAAAGCAGATTTACATATCTGATCCTCTGTCCCACAGTGGTCAGTGCTCTCCTCCTCCTCTCCAGTTGTGAAATGTTCCTCCTCGTCCTCGCATCTAATGCAAGTTAATGGAGCTGCATTAGACATGATGACATCAGTGGTCCTTAGGGCCCATTCACACCATGTCCAGATCAGATGCAGTACGTTAAATTTTTCTTCCGCACCAAAAATGCATTCAAATGCATTTTTATGTGATTTGTGACAGTCCAGTCCGTTCCAGTGCAGGAAAAAAAATGCTGCATGTCAAATTTTTGCTGCACTGGACCGCACCAGAACGCGTCACAAACGTACCGCACTGGAACGCAACAGAAGCTATGACTTGGAGCAGGAAGAGATTAATTTGCACAATGACATTTCCCCCTAAAAAAAAAAATACTGGAACGCGTCGCAAACGCCCTGCACCGCATGGGCAGAAACACGTGCAGCCGCCGGATCTCAAGGAAGAAGTGAAATGCAGAGTCAAGTCTAGCAGCCCGGTGAGATTGAGGATCTGGTGGGTATACAATATGTGTTTTATTTGAGGCCCCAAGACAAAACAAGCAGTTGACCCTTGCAGTGCAGGTGTAGCCCCACTGTAAGGGTGCATTTTTTTATTTTTTTTATTCCTGGAGTTCTTCTTTAAATGTTTAAATCAGCAGCTTTTATCAAAATAATTGAGGTGACAACACTCTGTCCCTGTCTCTGAGCTGTGTTCCTGCATTGTCACCCTGTCACATGGGCTTCTGTTGAAGTTTACACATGGCCATTTCAACACACATTATGCTGGGATTGTCCACTGTTGTCACCATTAGGAACCTACCCAGAGGAATGTCATTGCTAGATTATATGCGTGTAGGCAGGAGGTGGCTCGTCAATGCTGAGTGCTTTTTTTTTAAACAAAGCGGAATTTTCCTTTAGGAGAGTTTAATAAATCAGGTAAATCATGTTTATAATTGAATCAAGAACATCATTCAGCCTTCGTAGGGGCCACTTGTCAAAATTAAGCTCTTACATGGACTCAGAAGGGGACGTACTTGAGTGTTGTGTTAAGACTCAGCAGTTATATGATAAACATGACAAAGATGATACTTATTTTCTTTCTGTTCTTTGTAATTGGAATGAACTGCGTGACTGCTGACTTGTCTACACTGAGCTCATAGCTGCATAGAATGTATACGGTGTAGCAATAGAGAAGCCATCTGCTTCAACTAAATTGGACTTCACCTGTAAAAACAAGAGTGTCTTGGGGGCATGTGTTCCCCTGCTGTTCCTTGCATGCTTTCTTGTCAAATGTAGGTGGGCGTTCTTCCAAAATCTGTTGGATGCCTATCCTGCTGCCCTACAGGCGTTAGAATGTAGGTTTACATTTAGAGCCCCCCCCCCAAACCATTATATTTTATTCTTCTGCATTGAAAACATTTAAAGCCGAAGTTTGATCTGCTTATATTTTGCCTTTCCTGGTTTCACCCTGCTACCATTCATCAACATTTATTACATTTTTTTATTACGTACCTTATTGTAGACCAACATCATCATTGGGTCTCTGTGCCTCTCTATACAATGTTGCTAGATCATGGCTGGTAGGAGGGGCCAGCAGGGCACTGTATATAACTTTGTGCAAACATCAAAGCACCTTGCCTCAGTACCCTCAAACGCACCCAGCCTTGAGGGCCCTGTCACACCATCAAGAGTGCGTTTGGCCTCTGGAACGCAACCCAGCCGCCTCACTTTGTTTTGGGGTGGGAGGAGGCGTGGGCGGTGCATTGAACTCATTGACACTGTAGCCACGCCACCCACCTGCGGTACGATCGCCGGCACCCGAACGCGTGGCACATTAGTGCCTGAGTTCCGGTCCAGTGCGATTTGCAAAAAATGCTACATGCACTATAGTTGGCATTTAAGACAGGTTCCCTATATTGGCAAAAAAAAAACATTATTATGCTCAAAGCCTCTCCTGAGATTTTTGCCTAGCAGTTTGTAATTGACCGCTATTCACATTCAGGTGGTTCTAGAATTCAGGGGCCACTTTGAAAAAAAAAAATGTGGTGGTCGGGGTACGGAAGTCCAAAGCAGATTGAAGGATTGTGAAGAAGAGGCAGGACAGTTATAATTCATAGATCTGTGAATGAATGATGCAACTGTATGAATGAAGCTACACACGGCCGTGCCAATTAAAACAAATTCAGGTAAGTGGTGGTGAGAGGTGCAGGTTGAAGGGCTGCAGCATGGGACCATGTTCCATGTTACACCCTAAATATGAGTAGAACACGGTTTAAAGGTGGAATTATCCTTTAAGAACTCCAGGACATTAACCCGGTACCAGTACAGTAATATGGACCTTTGACTTCTCTTTGAACTTATTGATCAGCATAGTTGTTCCTGGGGCAGTGACTTAAAATAATAAACCCAAGAGGTCATCCTAACAGCCAGACAAATGGCATTATCTGATGGCGGTCTACAATGACAGCCCCAGTTTATCTTCTAGGAAAGGTTCACGGTAACATCTGTTAATGCATAATAAGTATAAAAAATAACGTAATGCTAAAGTAGACGCTAATGCTGAAGTAGACTGCAGCTAATCCAGTATATTTGCGTGTCCAGCTTGACCAAAAATGACAAGAAGTGTCTGATTGGCTGTTACGGGTAGCCCAGACACTCCAACCCCCTGTTGGTTTCATAAATACTCTACTATACATTTAGCACCTTCTGTCCACTCTTCTATGGTGTGTGTACACAGCAGGCCTCCTCGTGACTTTAGATTCCTACCACATAGCCCTCCCTGGGTTGAAATATGTGGAAACACGAAGGGTAATTTACTATAATAAAGACATTAACAATTTATTTTAGAACTATAAAGAACCTGAATTTATTGCTAAGTGCAATTTTCTCTTATCTAAGTGCCTGTAATGCTTTCTTCATGAGTTATTTAACAAGTATTACGTTCATTGAGACCCATTAGTTGTAGTTTAGCGCTCTAGCATATTAATGTGCTTCACTGTGTTTGAGACTTTACCGTGTTTCAGTTTTAGTTTTCATGCATTCGTATTATTGTTTGTAAAATACCACTAAATTCTCAAGATTAACTGTTGGTTGGGATTGGGTGAGCAGAGGTCCTCAGTGTACATAGTTACTCACAAGGTTATTCACAAAAGAAAGTGAGCTACATTGGAGACTTTTTCCAAATTAGCGATGTTGTCCTAGATTGTTCACTTCTCCTGCCTTCTCCAAACTCTCCACCCTTTTGTGAATAACCATGATAGTATTTGAGGTTGAATAAAGACACAGATCCATCGAGTTCAACCTTTGTGTAAGTGTGTGGTGTGTGTATAGGAGTCCCTGTGTGGTCCTAGGTTTTTAAGAGTACCTGTACCTCTGAGGAAGGTATCTCATTGGTTTTTGAATGATTCAATACTCTCTGCTGATACCACTGCTTGTGGCAGAGAAGAAGCCCCTACGCCCTTTGTGGTTAAATCTTTTCTCCACCAGTTTTAGGTGGGGACCTCTAGTCCTTGTTAGGGAGTTTACTGTAAACAGTTTATTGCTGATGTTGCCATCACCGCCAAACATTTTGTACATTGAAATCATGTCCCCTCTTAATCTCCTCACTTCCAGTTCAAATTTAGCAACCTTGCCTCATAGCTTTGGTCCTCCATCCCCTTAATGAGTTTCGTTGCCCTTCTCTGGACTCTCTTCAGCTCCAGGACATCCTTTCTGTGGACTGGTGACCAATACTGTACCGCGTATTCAAGATGAGGCCGAACCAGCGATCTATAAAGTGCAAAATTATCACATTGTCTCTAGATTACATTGGCTTTTTAATACAAGACGGTACTCTGCTAGCTTTTGTTTGCCGCAACCTGGCATTGCAAGCTGTTATTCAGTCTGTTGTCTACTACGACACCCAAATCTTTTTTCATTTCTGACATCCCTAATGTGTAGGACAGGGGAGCCCACAATTTTTGTGTTAAGATCTACTTTTAAAATGAGGAGCTACATGAGATCTACCAACGGAAAAAAAACTTCTCTCTCTCTCTCTCTCCTGGCTGTCTCTCCTGGCGCTCTCTCTCTCTCTCCTGGCACTCTCTCTCTCTCTCTCCTCGCTCTCTCTCTCTCTCTCCCCTCGCTCTCTCGCTCTCTCTCTCTCTTTCCCCCTCGCGCTCTCTCTCTCTCTCTCCCGGCTGTCTCTCTCTCTCTCTCCCGGCTGTCTCTCTCTCTCCCGGCTGTCTCTCTCTCTCCCGGCTGTCTCTCTCTCTCCTGGCTGTGTCTCCTTGCTCTCTCTAAAGTCGCTACTCTGCAATATTACAGAACACCGGGAGGCTAGAGCTCCTACTTCTCCTCCTTTCATGCTCAGCCCTTCATCCTAAAGTCGCTGCTCTCATGCTGTCTGCCTCTGCCTTCATGTGTCAGACGCAGCAGACGGGGAGGGGCTAAACAGACGTAGGAGGGTTCTCGGGATAGTAAGCCGACTTACAATCGTGATCTACCAGCATCAGCTTTGTGAGCTACTGGTAGATCATGATCTACCTAATGGGCACCCCTGGTGTAGGAAGACTGAGCTCAGAGACAAATGGGGCATTTACCTCCTTGGCCAGTGCTAATAGGAGATGTTGGGTTGGTGGCCCTACATGAAAATAAATCATCGTTCAGACACCAGTGAGAGCAGGACATCCAGTAAGTGACAGCTGGTGGGTATTATATACAGTTGCTTCCTGTTTCCTGTTCAGATCTATGATTATAGCATCTGGCAGAGGGAAGTGTTTCAGCACTTTCATCGCAGCTCTGAGATGTCAAGGGACCAAACGCCAAAAGTCACAAAGGAAGTTAATGCTTGAAGGTGGGAAAAGATGTCACAATAAACCATGTTCTTTAGGAACACTCTCGCATGTCGCCATGTATCTGCCTCACTACTAAGAAAAATTGGTAGCAGACACAGAAAGTGAATTGTCACCACAGCAAGATGACTTTTTTCATCAAGTTATGACTGATACATATAAATACTCTTCTTATAGGGTTGTGTCCGGAATGCTCCTACAAACTGAATTTCCATCGCAAGTAAGTTTTTACGTATAACCTATCAATTAAGTTAAATGCAAGCAGGCATCATTCTGTATCAGCATTTCAATTGTATGCCACAGTGAGTCCTATGTAGTGTTTAAACAACAAGGATTTTATTAAGTAATGAGTTCTTAAAAAGGCCATAGCAACCAATCAGAATGATTACTCCTCAGATCATACTGGTGCAAGATAGATGTTGATTGGTTGCTGTTGGTTACCATACATAAAGTAAACCAGTCATGAGGGAAACCTGTTCTTCTGAAAAGGATAGTTGCCCAGCTGTCATTCTGGTTGTGATTCAGCAGGGGGCATGTTGGTCCTGTGCAGGGAATTCACTGCTTTAACGCAGAGAGCAAGGACACCACTCTGCAGCATGCTGGCAGGGGACAGGCTTTTCTACTCAGGCTGTGACTACTTTAAAAAGAAAACAAATTGTAAGACATTTCTGTTTTGATGCACCAGCTATGTCTTTTTAGCTGATTTATGGGCTTTAACCCTTTTGCTGCTAGACTTACACAATAGTTCTCTTTTAACCTTTTCCAGATATTTGGATGAGCCTTGAATTTTCTCTAGGGTGGCCTGTTACCTTCTTGCTTCAACTCCAGCAACATTCTGACTTTGCATTGCTCTCCCTGCTACAGGTTATACTTTAATGTCAGGATCATTTCTGTATAAAAACCTTTGTGTCATCCGTATACCATTACTTGCTTCACAGGAGGCTAGAGGTCCAGCCAAAGGATAAGAAAAAGAAGGCTTCAGAAGACACTGGAGAACCTTCTAAAAAGAAGTCTAAACAGTCCCGCTCTCAAAAGAAAAGAAAAGGTAAAACTAATGTGAAATGATCAAACCTAGCTAGTCTTAGTTTAGAAGTCATTTCCTTTTTAGCTGTTAAATGACACAATGCCAGTTTGGTGGTGGGTTCTAGATTGGAGGAGCTTCTTAGGTTCCGAGACAGTGCACAAAATCTATATTCATCAATACATGGATCACAAACCAGTCAAACTTTCCTCAGCCAACTTAGTCATTCTCCTGCATGTCTAAGCTCTGAAGAAGGTAGATGTTTCCCCTGAAACACGTCAGTTTTTAAGTTATAAATAAAGAAGGTCCTCTGTACCTGACCACCTCATTGATTGGTCTTTTTGGTTCACCTTTCCTTCTTCATCTCCAGTTTTCACCCGAGGACCCTCACTTGGTAGAAAAAGTTTCAGCCATGGAGCAGCCTAAGGCCTCTTTCACACGGGCTGATCAGGAGAGGATCTGTGCATGGATCCCCTCCTAATCAGAGCAGTGCGGAGCGGATGCCACCGATGGGACATCTGTGTCCGCACAGTTTTTTCCCCCCCATCTTGCAATGAAGGAAAAAAACTGCATTTACCGGACCTCATGCCAGTCTATGGGGAATCTGATGTAAATGGACATGTGTCCGTGTACATCAGATTACCCCCGATCCGGCACGATCCGACCCGTCAAAACAGAACACTGTTCCATTTGGTGTTTCGTCCATTTAAACCCGGCTGCCCATAGACTTGCATTGGGCATCTGATCGGGTCCGCCTGAAAAACTGACAGGCGGACCCGATCAGAGCGGCCATGTGAAAGGGGCCTTACTGCTATATTGACACCACTAAGTATAAATAAATACTTTGCTTGGTAATGTACATTTGTTGGATCTGGATTCATTATTGAAAAAAGTTTGCGAGTTTAATACTACTTTAAGTGATTATTATTGCAGAACTTGTTGATTGGTGAGTTGGTCTCTAACTTATGAACTGCTTTTGAATGGCACATGCCTGCCTATGCTGTAATGCTATAATTGATACTATCCCATAAACCCTTCATGGGATTTAATGCCAAAAGGGATTGTGAAAATTAGATTTATATATTTTTTTGATAAATAGTTTTTTGTTTTTTTTTAAATCAGTACTTTGCTTGGGCCCCAAAGTATTTTTATAAAGGTGTATGTGGCTATATGGTAATCTTTTAACATACATTATTAAAAAGCTATATCTTATGATCACATGCACACATTTTCATAAAAGAAAAAAATTTGCATTTTATCATTTTTTTGCATGGAATCCTGTAAAGAATTGCAACCACGATCAGCTTCTGGCTCCTTCAGACTCTTCCTCCTGGCCGTATCTATACCAAAGTTCGGACATTTATTAACGGGGACATGGTTGCATCATTTAACATGTTGGATGTTACTGAGTATGTGTAACATGAGACATGGTCAGAAAAGTAAACGTGGCCATAACCTAGCCATGTAACTTGTCTGTGATAATGGAGGTCCTTGTACTGTAGTTCTTGGTAGGTTGTTCAATCATATTGCATGGAGGCTGTACAGTCAAGTTGTGAGGTTTTCCTGTGAAGATGTGTCAGTGTATGTGTAGTGTTAGTTTACCCTGCTGACCTGAGATTTCTACAGGTGAAACTCGAATAATTAGAATATTGTGCAAAGTTCATTTATTTCACTAATGCAACTTAAAAGGTGAAACTAATATATGAGATAGACTCATTACATGCAAAGCAAGATAATTCAAGCCGTGATTTGTCATAATTGTGATGATTATGGCTTACAGCTCATGAAAACCCCAAGAACCCCAAATCCACAACCTCAAAAAAGTAGATTATTACATGCAATCAATAAAACAAGGATTGTACATAGAACAATATCGGACCTCTGAAAAGTACAAGCATGCATATGTACTCAGTACTTGGTTTGGGCCCATTTTGCAGCACTTACTGCAATTACTTTTGCACGATATTCTAATTATTCGAGTTTCACCTGTATATATCCTCACTTCTGAACAAACACTTTTATGTCTATTTTTTTTTTTCTTACCCAAGTTGATAAAAAATAAAACTGTTCCATAGCTGTGGTATGAGGGCTCATGTGGACATGTGTCTCAGGGCATCCAAGATTCAGCAACCCGGGATTGCTTAATGCATCTCCGCTTTAGAACCGCCTTCATTTTTAAAGGTCGTGTTCAAAGGGTTAGGTGAGCCTCCCTTGTCATCTGTGTTATTGAAACAAGTTCTGGATCAGAGGCATTTAACTTTTGCTAATTTCCATTTAGGGCCCCTTCACACTTGTGCAGTCCAATACACTGCATTAATGCACATACACTATGATGCCTATTTACATGCAATGCAATATAAAATGTGTATAGCATTTATGTTATACTCTTCAATTTTTCTTTTCTCCTCATGTATAAAAAACAAGAAAATGTGGTCTGGGTGGCGTCCTTGACAAGTTAATGAACTCTCTCCCATTTTTAGTTTGCTAAATTCCTCCTACGTGAGCTGCAGTGTCTCCCGAAAGCTTTGATTATCAGAGCAGTGCAGATCTTCAGTCATGTGATCCTGTGATATTGGCATAATTGCTAAGCCGAAACTTTGGATCCTGTGGAGCTGTGTGTTTACTTCTACACATGTAGTGCAGGTTGTAGCTGCAGGCCACACTCGTCCTATTGTGGCTCCTCATATTTCCAGGGGAGCTTTTCATCTCTCGGCTCTGTGACAGCAAGAACCCATGACCCTGGTGTATCCCTTGCAGCCTTATTATTATTATTGTTATAACTGGGGAAAAAAATCTGTTTTAGAAGTTTCTAAACCCAAAACGAGTCTGTAAAGCTGCCTGCACACTGCAGCACACCATTGGATTCAAATGCTTTGCGGCTATCGTTTTTTTATGGTGTCCAGATGTCCAAGAAGCAGAATATTTTGGACAGGCTTTATTACTTGCTGCAAGCCCACTACTTTATGAAAGATTATTCCTCCTTCTAAACAGTGCATCCAAAACCAACAATCATACGTGGTAAATAGTTCTTCACTTCATATATATATTATTTCATTGGTAGGGGTGGACACTGACATATGTCAAAGTAGTCATTGACAGTGGAAGTTATTACATATTGAACTTTGTATTATCTACTCACCATAGCAAAAGAAAAGGAACAAAGTGCTCATTGTTCTATTTGATTTTAGCACTTCCTCATTTTAAAACCGCATTCTATGTGTATCCGTAGCAGTTTCTAATTTTGATCTCATTGATTAGGAGCTTGCTATTTTATCTCTGAATGTTTTAAAGCTGAACTCCAGGCAGATTTTTTAAAAATAGTGTAGATCAGCATTTCTCCACTTTATTGCAGTCACGGCACTGAAAATGCAACATCTTGAAGCACCTCAGTGTTAAATGTAAAGTCCAACTTGTGGCTCCTTCAAAATCCATACCAGACCCTTATCCCAGATAGTAGTCTGGTATAGATTCAAGCAGAGACCTAACACAAAAACAAGCAAAAAAAATTGGGTTCCTCCTTCAAATCAGGAGACCCGCTTCAGATTGAAGCCCCCCTTTCACATCAGAATCCTACCTTTTAGATCAGGTGCCTCCCCTTTACATTAGGACCCCCCTTCGCATCAGATGCTCACCCTCTTCCCTTGAAGAGCCCCCTTTCACATCAGAATCCTACCTTTTAGATCAGGTGCCTCCACTTTACATTAGGACCCCCCTTTGCATCGGATTCCCTGCCCTCTTCACTTGAAGAGCCCTCTTTCACATCGAGAAATTCTTTTAAAAACCATTAATGTATTTTAAAAGCGAGTAGTGTAAATACCTGAGCGTTGATATTAGCCTGGTGTTATCACCTTAAAGCAGGGACACTGGGAGAGGGGGCACCACTATTAAGCCAGTAGGGTCCTGCTGCATGTACAGTAAACATGCTGGCAGGAGGAGACCATTGGGATGTCTTTATCAGGTACTGCTTCTCCTTTAGTGTGCATTCAGTAGCTGTGGGGTATTTTCTTCCAGCCTGTGTGCCTGCTGCACTGGAGGTCAGAGACCTGACTGTTGTCAGACAGGAGTGCCTTTGTCACAAAACTGGCTAAATTGTAAGCTCTCATGAGCATGGCCCTCCTAACCCTAGTGTACTGAAATTGTATTGTAACTGTACTATCTCCTCCATTTTGTAAAGTGCTGTGCAAACTGTTGTCGCTATATAAATCCTGTATAATAATAATAGAATGAGAAATCCTATAGCAAGTGAAACACTTCCTATATATGTATTTCAAATATGTATTTAGACTGCTTGCCTGGAGTTCTGCTTTAAGTGGAAAGCCATTTGTGTAACAATTTGGTTATGTAACACAGGTGAGACACCAGTTTAGTATCCTAATAAAATGTGGCTGCTTTGCCATGTAAATAGGGATGTTGGGCAATGTTACCGCATGGTTATATGATGTGTAATTCCTAAGCTGTTTGATTTATTGTTTTTGCCTTTTTTGACATCCATTACCTCTAAGTGTGTTCCCTTTGGCCAGTGAGAAATGTTTAAATTGTGCTTGCTGCTATTGGGGGAAATGTAGACATTGGTGCTTAGTTATCCAGAGTTGCCTTAGGGCTCATTCATACCTATGCGTTTTTACACACGTCAACGCGTATACACACCTTGTTTTCAAAGAGGTCAGTTCAGTGCATTGTGAAGAAGCTAGATACTATTTACAAGATTTTGTCAGAAAGGTGGGAATTGGTCATTTACCCATCAAGGTGTTTACTTAGAACTTATTCTGAGATTGTGTCTTATTTATTTTGATTTTTTCCAGACAAATCTTCACAAAGACATGAGGACTCCAGTGATGAAGGTAAATCGTTATAATGTTAGCAGTAGTGGGGGGAGATACCCAGACATTGCCAGCAGTTTGATTCAGCATTGTATATATTTTATCCTCTCCCATTCTTTGGAACTCTCTCCCATTCTTTCGAACTCCTTATCCCAACCTGTCCGTCTATCTCCCACTCTGACTGCCTTTCGGCAATCACTAAAGACTCCTCTCTTCAGGGAAGCCTATCCCACCTCAAACTAACCACTGAACTATCAATTTCTCAAACAATTCATCCCCACACAGCTAACTCCTCATGTATCACTTCTCCCTCCCTTTTAGATTGTAAGCCCTCCTGGGCAGGGCCCTCCTTACCATCTTGTCTTGAATTGTATTGTAATTATGTCTTCCCTATACTGTAAAGCGCTGCACAAACTGTTGGCGCTATATAAATCCTATATAATAATAATCCGGAACAATACACATACCAGGAGTGAGGCAGAGTCCCCCCTGCTTCGTTGAGGACTTTTGTTATAATGCCCAGGCCATTCCCCTCCACTTTCCATGCAGTAATAAGTTATACTGCTGTAAAATATTACAATTCCTTGATGGCAGAAGCTGCCCAACAGTTCTAGAATTCAGTATCCCATCATCAGAGGAACTACTAATTACCCTACTACTACTTACGGTATTCGCTGCATGTGAGTCCCCTATGGCATGTGCAATGACCACCCATACAATACACAATCGCAGGCACTAGATCTCAGAAAGGGGCTCATTTATTAAAGCTGGATCAAGGAAGCTGGAGCAGATGAGGGCTGTTTTTCCCCTGTAAAAAAAACATGGCATTGGTTGCTACACTCTGTTCTAGCTCTTTTTGCTCCAATATTGATAAATCAGCCCTATAATATCTGTAAAAAATGAATCAAGGTAACTGGACTTGCTATATTTTTCTTGAAGACAGTTCGCTGGTCTGGCCAGCTTTCTCAATTCAGAATTCATTCCCTGCAGAGCCAGGCAAGTGACACGTCTATTTCCTGTCACCTCATCCATTAATGAGGATAAACCAGGATGAAGTAAAGCGATAGCAGAAAGTACATATTTTTGCCTGTGCAAGTTCTTTATTGGAGCATACACATGGTTAATGACCTGCTCCTCTCCCCCACATGGCAGTGTTGAGGCCTGGGAATTGTAAACTGAGGCCAAACACATGTATCCTAAGAGGAAAGAAGGAAGGTCACATGCTTTGTCATACGTAAAAACACTAGAGGTGCATTTTTTAAAACAATATCTGTGGATTTGTGTTCTGTGCATTATAATGACAAAAACAAACGTTAACATATTTTTATTATGTTGTAATACTGCATTATGGCCACTAGATGGAGCTGATGAAAATAGGAAATATTTATTTTAAAAAGACATTGTTTATCAATGGATCCCTAGATAAGGGTTAGAAGTAGTGGGTGGTGGAGTCATTTTTTTAAGAGAACCTGTCACTTTGCCACGAATGTACAGATTCCATTTATAAATAGTGGTTTTGTGTTCTACTACTCTTGGAATTGCTCAGTTGAAGCATCTTCTCATTGTAGAAATAGATATGACCATGCATGATATGTGCCAGCCCTGAGATCAGTTCCATTTATGAACAATCTGTTTAAAGCTGGCCATACACCTATAGATTATCTGCAGATTTTCTATGATCAGATGGAAAAAGTGCAACAGATTCCTCCATCTACGCTAAACTGTGTGAATGGAAGAATCTCCCACTGGGCCAAGCTTCAGTATCTTGCTAGTCGGTATTACTGGCTGTCAAAATAGCTGAACAATCTGATTGGATGCAGGCATTGTTCAGGTATTGTGACAGCCATCGGGGCCGACTAGTAAGATACTGAAGCTTGGCCCAGTGGGAGATTCCTCCACCCACACAGTTTAGCATAGATGGAGGAATCTGTTGCACTTTTTCCATCTGACCATAGAAAGTCTGCAGATAATTATCTATAGGTGTATGGCCAGCTTAAGAATGGAAAGGGCCATCATCAGTGACTTTTACAGATGTAGTATAGTGAGGGTACTGAACTCTCTGATTGCAAGCAAATATATGCCCGTTCATGAACGGAGAAATGTTGAAATGGCGGCGTTGGTACAGAGGACAGATGCACCATGTGGAAAGCAGCTTGCTGTGTATTTGTTCTCTGTTTTACGATGGACATAGTCCCAAGCCCTCTGTTAGCTCATAGGACATTGGCTGAAAGATTAAAGGATTCACTTCACTGCCGACATAGAAGCTTAAAATTTAACCAGGCTTGTGATGACTCCCCTCTTCTTTTATTAATATGTTTACACGCTTTGCTCTGCAGATACGGACAATGATAAGGAGGATGATAATGATGAGGTAGCCAATAGTGAGTTCTGGAAGGGTCCTCAAAAAGAGCCGGATGAAAAAACACGGTCAGACAACATGCATTATGAAGATACTGATATGTTATTTTTATATTTTATTTTTTTATTTTACAAATGTCATTTCTAATATATAATCGGGGATGGGCAAATCCCAGGAGCCAGACTGACTATATTGCAGCTGTCCGCTTTATAGATGTTTCCTGTTGTCACTTAAACGTTATAATCATTTATTCAGTCATCTTCGTTGTTATCTGTTTATAGTTCATATGTAGACTGAATTTTAAAGTGTACGGAGTAATTTTTTTTTGTTTTGGCCGCAGAAGGAAAGAAGTAAAACCTCTTCCACTTTACTTTTTGCTGTCTGTATTCATTGGGGAGATTTCCCTTCACTTCCTATCGTGGAGACACAACAGGAATTGAGAGAAAATATCTACAATGCGAGGTGTATTTTCCTCTTAGACAGTTGTTCCCATTGGAAGATTTCCCATTCCCTCTTGTTTTCGTGACAACTGTTAAAATATTGTATTTCCCTTCACTTTCTATCTTGGCAACAATGGCACCAGGAATAATAAAGAGGGCAAATTTCCCTAGTGGAGACACAGACTGCAAAAATAACTTGTCAGGGGTTCTAATCCTTCCCTACTCTATCCAAAACTGAGGCTATAAATACACTTTACTTATACACATGTATACGTAATTGGATTATATTGATATATTTATTTTCTCTTTCAGGGAAGAAGAGTTTGATGAATATTTTCAAGATATGTTTCTGTAAATTTACTCCAAGAAATACATTAAATTTATATATATTTTTTTAATAATTTTTTGCATTTCTTCTTTAATATTTCAGAGAGTGTCATAAGGACAAAATCTAACCTTCTCCATCCATACAGGGAAAATGACAGAGACCAAGATTTACAATATGTAATGATTTGATGTGACAAATATGAGCGCTGATGTCAACCATCTGTGCATTGTGATGTGCCGCCTTAAAGAAGAACTCTGGGCATATTAGACATTAACCCATGCAGTGGGGCTAGCCCCACACTGCAAGGGTTAATGCTTGTTTTGGTCTAGGGTCTAAAATAAAAAAAATATACTCACCCGATCCTCAGTCCTGCCTGGCTCATAGACTGGTCCGTGAAGCCTCTTCTCCCCCAGGCAGTCTGGGGGAGAATCTGTGATGTCATCTCGTCCATTCACTTGAATTGGATGTGAGGAGGCCAAGGTACATTCCACAGCCAGAGCGAGAGAGAGGTGAGCGGTCACTGCTGCGGAACTGAGGATCAGGCGAGTATATCTTGCTTTATTTTAGACCCTAGAGCAGAACAAGCCCCAATGCAAGGGTTAATTGTAGCCCCAATGCAAGGGTTAATGTTTCATACGCCCGGAGTACTTCTTTAAAATGCCAATTTCACTGTGTTGGCAGCCTTTTCACAATGAATAGGCTGCCTTACCACAACACAGAGCAATAGATTTGATAGAATAGAATGATTTGGACCATAGCTGTGTAGGCCCAAAGAGAAGAGAATAAAAGTTTACCGCAGTGAGAACTTTTCCAGGTCGGCTGCAACCCAAGTTATCTAATCAAACAGTATAAGAAGGTAGGAAAGGAAGTACAGTAATTCCTCGGTTCACGAATGCTTCTGTTTGCGAACAGGAAGTTCGGCAAAATTTTGCTTCCTTTCGCATACTCCAAATCGGATGACTAACACGACCGCAGACATCTTCCCTGTTTGTGGCTTCCTCTAGTCGAGATCACGGTCGCAGACAGACCTGTGCACACTTGCTGTGAAGCTTTTTAGCACGTTCAGTGCAGTATTATTCAATCCAGCATAGCTCCACAGAAAGTGCAGAGCAAACATGGTGGTAAAAAGAAAGTGCAGAGCAAACATGGTGGTAAAAAGAAAGTGCAGAGCAAGCATGGTGGTAAAAAGAAAGTGCAGAGCAAGCATGGTGGTAAAAAGAAAGTGCAGAGCAAGCATGGTGGTAAAAAGAAAGTGCAGAGCAAGCATGGTGGTAAAAAGAAAGTGCAGAGCAAGCATGGTGGTAAAAAGAAAGTGCAGTGTGGTAATGAAGGTGACAAGAATGTTAAGAACGGATTAAGCCTATTTACATTGAACCTTATGGGGAAATTTGATTCTGTTCGCGACCAATTCGGTTAGCGACCATAATCGTGGAACGAATTAAGTTCGTGAACCGAGGTACCACTGTACAAAGACACATATACTGAAAGGGTATTGGGGACCGGAGAGTTATCAATATGCATGTTATACATTCTTCAGTTGTTAGTAGAGCAGTTGATGGTTTTCTATATCTCAGGAGCTCCTCTGTTTCTTTAAAACAATACCTTTTCTTGCTGGAGACTTCCGTTTTTCTTGAAATGGGTCTTCACACATACTTCTACCAGGCTGCAATATGTAGGTAATTATGTGACACGGACAACAAGCGTCCACTTCAGGAGAACTTGAGGTTAATTCTTTTACATCTCGAAAGCTCTCTGAAAAGCCAAATCCAATATACAAAAAGCAGCTTACGTTTATGTAACTTGTCTGGCCCAGCTCTTCCACCGCCAGTCTCCCCCAGGTACAAAACTCAGATGCTAAAGATTCACACAATAAGCCTTTCCTAAGTTGTACAGAAAAGGAAAGGAGTGGTAGGATTTTTAAAGTATTGCATTTGTTTTCTCCTTACTTTCCATTAGTGCAATCAATGAGTAGCGTGGTTATCGCGTTGTAAACCACACTTTGAATGCAAACGCAGAAGCAAACACTGATCAGTCAATAGGGACCACACAGTCTCACCATGACAGACCACATGAAATGCAACGTAAGCATTTTAAACAATGCAACTTAAACTTTTTGGTGTGGTCTGCATTGTCCGTACCGGACAATGCAGACCACACCAAAAGGTTTACATTGCATTGTTTAAAATGCTTAAGTTGTATTTGATGTGGTCTGTCTTCCTTACTGTATTATTGATGACATAGAGCTTCATATATAAATATTCCACTTGGCGTATAGACAAGTGTGTGCCATTCGCATGCCAATAATGTCCTTAGATGGTGATGATGAGTATAGGAAATTCTTATTCTCATCAGCGCCATGTAGGGGCACTAGTTCCGTGCAAATCACATCCGTCCGGCTATACACTGGGCAGAAGTTTTGAATGAAGCCCATAGTGTGTATTTCTAAATCACAGATCATTGCATGAAGCTGAAGATGTGAATGTGTTGTGGCAACTGGACACAATGATATGGTCCAGTATTATCTACATTTTTTGAAGACCTTTTATCTACTGTTATTTCTTTCCACAAAATTCCATTCTTTAAAGTACACATTGCAGTTTCCTTGGTTAGTTCCTTTATTTCATATGAGGACTTGTAACAGCCAATCTTCTCTGATTTGCTTAACTTATGTGGAGTGCCCCATTGTAGCAGCAGTTACCTCCATATTCCCTTTCTTTAGTCATCTGTACTGTGAGCTTGTTTCCTGAGGACTGGAGCAAAGAGCAGATCCTGCCCATTCCACCTGTCGGCTTTTATTCTGTAGTCAGCACTAGAACGTAAACAGTGCCAAGCTGATGGTTATTGAGTACAACACCTCCAGTTTAATGCAGGAAGTCCTCATAGTCATGACATCTAATATTGTTGGCTTATTTCAATGGATGTTTGTTAGTACCACGAAAAGTAGTTTCCGTGAGATTATTTTTTTTCTTCTTTACTGGTCCCTAAAATCTCTTACTAGTGCAATTAAAGTACAAATAAACCAATAAGTGATCAGTGCATTTGCCTTGCATCCCTAAGGCTCCATTAACTTTGCTACTTTTTTGCTGTACATTCCACATGTGTTACCATTCATCCCTTCGAAAGGTGCGGTTTGCCGGAAACCGCACCAAAACATAGAGGTGTGAAGACGGCTGATGGTCTCAAACCCCACCTGAAACACTATGGGGCTGATTTTATAATAACGTTCACAGCTCATTACTGGTTCTACAAGGAGCATAGGATTTCCTACTGCGCAGATCAATCTAGTGGTAGTAAGGCGCTGAGAATGGATTACAAATCAGTCCCTATGCATGTAGGTTGTATGTTCACTTAGGTTTCCCAAAAGTACTGATATGTTAATTGGAAACTCAACAAACAGGCCATAGATCAGGCATATCAAACTGAGATTTTTTTTAGCTGCACTCGGCCTTTTTGCAGGTCCTCAGTGGTTTAAGAATTTGAATTTAACAAGACATCAGATGTGCTACAAGTAGCAAAGGCTACATTTCTGTATGCAATTTTTCAAGAAATAAGTTTTATGACCCCAGTCTTTGGGATAAACTATTGAAAGTTGCAATTATTATTATTATAGTAATAATTGCAACCTGTGTATCTATAAGACCCGGGTCATAAAACATTTTCTATGCTAAAGAAATGTAGCCTTAATTATCTGTAGAAAAGCGAACACCTCATTGAATTTAAATTCTTTACATTTTAAAAAAATTAGGAACTAAGATTGACATATCGAAGCCCCTCATTTAGGTGCAGACATGGATATGAAAGGTTCTGTACACTCTGTAAACCATTGCATAGTTTCTTGTTTCTATATAAATATCGTAAGTAAATATTACATAATCCCGCCTTTTTTTCTCAAACATCTTGAGCCTCAAGCCGTTTATGTACTTTTACCAAATTTATGTATGCATGTTACAATCATTTCAAGCAGATCATATTACTTCCATTGACCAGCACCTGTGTTTATAGCCAAGTTTTTATTAGCGTTGACATCCAATAGATCAAATTGACTCTTCACCACTATGCTCTATTCTAATTCCTTTTGTTTGGGGTCAGGCCAGTGTTTCATAGCTTCAGTCTCCAACCATACTCCTCCTGGATTGCTCAGTTATTTTTCTACAAAACTGTACATGTTTTTGATTTGTTTTGCACTACATTGTCTGCTTCATTCTTGTCTTGACCTAGTAAAGAAAACACAAGCGGAATGTTAGATGGTAGAGATGCGGGGCAGTGCTTGTTGATTTATGGATGTGATCGCTCTTTGTAGTTTTAGGACTTCTCTCTTTCTGCATTTTTGTCTTGACTAATTAAATATAATATATACACATTGCACATCACATCCAAATGTTTGTGGACACCTGACCATCATACCTATAAAAGCTTGTTTCTTCAAGGAAGGCTTCCACAAGAGTTTGGGGTGTGCCTGTGGGAATTTCTGCCTATTTAGCCAAAAGAGCATTTTTGAAGTCCGTTCTCATGTTCAATGAGAAGACCTGGCTCGGGTTAAGGTCAGGGCTCTGTGCACGTGACACTATTTTCTGAACACCAAGCTTATACAGCCATGTCTTTATGGATCTGGCTTTGTGCACATGGGAACAGTGATGCTGAAACAGAAAAGGGCCTTCCCCCAAACTGTTGCCAGAAGGGTGAAAGTGCAAAATTAAAAAAATGTATTTGAACATCAACAATAGCCTTCACCGGATTATATATAAGCAAAGTAAAGTATGTGTTGGGTACTGGTTATCATTGTCTTACCTGTAAAAAAAAAAGCTGAAAACCATGTTTTTCAATTCTGCCCAGACTTCTAGAGTTTGTAAATTATACAAAGACATGCAGGCTTATTATATAGCATAGTGTAGGTCCTTTTGTATCAAAGGAGCAGATGACTGTACATGTTGGCTCATAAACAAACATATGTATTAAGTGTTGTACATTGTACTAGTTTTCAGCAATGTAAAGTGCTCCCCTTTCCCACAAATGTTAAGGATAATGACAAAGGGTACACTGCCACACAATTTGGTGCACAATTCAGAATTCCCTTCTCCTCTCAGTAGAAACTCCAGGCCATACATATGTGAAAGCTGTCTCTGTTTTCCACAGGTGTGATCACATTCAGTCTTCCAGGTCTCAACTGTCATAATCCAGGGCAGGCATGGAAATGATTGGTCACTGTGGGGGTCTTGATTTTTAGGACTGATATGTTGATAATGTGAAAGATAGGGCAAAGATCCACTATGGCTACCATTGCTGCATCCTGAAAGTGATCCACTTCCCCATTAGTAACCTCTGTGTAGTTCCTGAATCTGCCTCAAAGCCCACACTGCCACAGAAGTGGAGACTTTCCTCCATCCCCAATATTATTTTAAATGTCATTGGGTGAACCCCATTCACACATTTGTACATGTCTTTCTGGTGAGCAATGGAAATACATCTGCGATCTCAGACAGCCTAATCTATCGCTAAACAGTTTGTGCAAAGGGTGATACTGAATACTAATGTGGTAGGATGTTCAATATGTATGTGCTGCTACACATACCCGCAGCAGCTCTTCACATTCACATCTGCTACAGCCAAATGCTGGCATCTCTGAGTGGGCAAAGCTTCGACACTTCCGGTTAGTTTTAAAACTTGCCTGCTCACATTGTCCCCATTTCTATTGGTCCTTCACTATGAAGAGCTGCTAACGTGGCTTATAGTATTTTGTGTCAGGCAGGAGGGGCAGACAAGTTCCGAAGTGCCAGAGCTTTGCCCATTCAGATTGGCCAACGTGTGAATATATCTGATGTGAATAAGAGTTGCTGCACAGATACTTTATACCCGCTAGCATTCTCTTTAGGTGACAGACACTTTAGACATATACCCCAACCCATACCCTCCTAGTGGTGCTGGGGGCATATACTCAATATCCTCTGAAGAAACCAGCACTAGTAATCTTGAACACATTACCCCCGATTGTTATTGGGTCGTCTTCATGGCAGACTCCCTCCACTCTGTTTGGTGGGGCTGAGATCCAAGCCCTGTCATCAGAGACCTCCACGTCCATCCATGACTTTTGATCACGTGTGACCAACTTACTCACATTGATCACAGAGGGCGTCAATGAGGTCCAGCGACATCCACTGCAGAATGTACCTCTGATCCTCTGACCATGTCTGACTCATATTTAGAATCTGAATAGTCTGTTTCTGAAGAGACTAATTTTGATGCACCGCAGTCATCTGCTATCCAGATTTGCAGGGTGTTGGACCTTATTGAGGCAGTGCGTTCTATCCGGCATTTTTAGGATCAGCTGGCTATCTTCAACCTTGGGTCTTTTAGAGTTCCTACAACTGCAAAGACCAATTACACCTGCTATTCGAGGAATTCCTCTGTACAGATTGTAAACAGCAGTTCAACCTGACTGTATCTACATTCCTGTGCCCTCCAATGAACTCCAAGAAATTGATTTTACAGTAAGTACAAAAATCCGCTTTTTGTTATAATGTAATGCTATTGAAATAACGATAGCACAAAGCTCTGTTAAGAAGGATACAGTGATATATTGATCATAGAGGCTGAATATTATATCTACAACTAACAACAAAATGCAAAATTGTTGCATAGATTGTCTATAGTGTTTGTGAGATTTGTAAGTTATTTTTCTAGGTGCCTGACACTTAATCTAAGGCCTTTCTTGAGGATAATAGAAGTTACCATACCCAGTTTATGGACACTAGCTGCTACATTACCTACGTGGAAATCTTAAGAGTTTAAGTGACACCCTTTATTGACTATCTTTAAGTTAGAAAACTGCCGCTTCAACAACAAAAAAAGTCCTCAAAAGACTCCTAATGATGACCTTGTGCAAACCTGTACTTCGCTCTCTTAAAGAACTAAGAATTCTGGCAGAACGGTCACACCCGACTTTTCTGAGTGCCTGGTCCCCCTTTGTGCACTATGGTTCCTCCCTCTGGTGCCTACATCGCCACTTGTCCTATAGTTACATAGGGGCTGGCCACACGGAACCACATAAAGTGGTGGGGAATCCAGACAGCGTTGGATGTAAAAGGTTCTCCATGAGGCAATACCTCTTGAAGAGAGTGAAGTGAGGAGTCACTTGACGTAAGTATTAGGAGTCTTTTTTTTTTTTTTTTTGCTGTGAAGTTTTATTAGAATTAGTTGGGTTTTTTTTTCATACAACACTGACTTTTAAGATGCAATCAATAATCAATGGCTTACATGGTAAAAACCTCTACTACTGAACCTCTTTTTGGTGTATAAGCATTGCAGAGCACTAGTACATTTCTATGGACAAGCTTCTAGTCAACATTTAGATAGTATCTGCTGCCATCCAGGAATTTACCTTGTAAATACATACAATACCTACAATGACATTTACATACATATTTGGGTAATTGACCCTTATTAATAAATGATGATCACTGTTTATTGTTTATCATGTTTATGCTCTGCCAGGAAATGGTCTATTGAGGTTAAAGTGACCTGGTCAGCTTGACAGTGCCACAGAGAGACTGCTGGTGTGATAAAAGAACATTATGCACCTTTTTTATATATAGATCTTTCCTTAGCTTACCAATAACCTATTTGTATAGCTGTATTCTCCTACAGCGAGCAGGCATAAATAATACAAAGTAACCCATATTAACTGTTTAGGGATCAGCAAAGAACTGATGCAGCAAGGTCTGTAAGTAGGTTCAAAATGGTGAGTGATGGGGTGGTTCAGCAATGATCACCTCTACTTTCCCTACACAAAACCTACCACAGATCAGCTTTATTGTAAGTAAACTGCTAAAAAAACTATCGCTATGGGATATACACCACTTTTCACATTAAAAGTAAGAGCTGTAAGGAAGGGTATTGTTACCCTATATAGCGGTGATCTTTTACCAGTTCACTACAAGTTTTTTACAGCAGAATTATAGACAAGGAGCTATATGTTTGGAACAGGTTTATCTGTTCAGGAATTTGAGTTTCTGCTCAGTCACTCTTCAGATTTATGCACCCCTGCCAGAAACCATAGCCAAGGCATGATCTTACTTTTCTCCATTGTAGTTCAGGGACGTGCGATCAGGGGAGGCAGAGCCTCACCTAGAATTATGGAGGAAAAAGCTATCAGCTTTAAATCTGAAGCTGACAGCTTTTTTTCCATTCAGAGCGGCTTCTTTCAGGTCACACAACAGGGAAAGCCTCTCCACTGTGTAACCCGTCATGGACGGTGCGCTGACTGTTAATTATAGGTGGCTCTGCATCCGGTTTTTGACAGCTAAGTGTTAGTATTAGAGGCGTGAGCTCTGTGGATGGTTTGGACCAATGGCAAAGCGCCATTGGTCCAAGCTGTCCAATCAAAAAAAAAAAGAAACACTGAGGACATCTGCCTCACCAGTGACAAGCAAGTGAGGGACAGGGAGGCTCCTCCCTGTCTCCCCTCTCCACACATAGCTTGGTTACCGAGTTGGGGGGTGGCTTCGGGATGGGACAGAGCTTCGGTGGGATTGGGGTGGAGCTTTGGCTGGGGGCGGGGCATGGGAATGCCTCACCCAGCACGGAAGGCACCGCACTTCCCTGTTGTAGTTATAGCTAAGGAGCGTAGTCATAGACTGCCCTAGCCTATGATTGGACATTGGAGAAGAAGCAAACTTTTTGTGTTCTATGGACAGCATATATACAGTAGATTCTGTATATATGTGCATACCTTCTCTGCAAAAACCTACAGTCAATAAAGAAAAAGCAATTTCATTACTGTAGTTATATGACACATGTCAGGACCGGGAACGGTCTGCAGCTGCTGTTTCTCAAGCTTTGGAGTATGTAGAGCCAGCATCCTTGAGACAGAAAAGCTTTTATGTGGTCTGCCTAGAAAGCTGGAAAATATTATATGTTTCATTGTCTGAGGGATTTGAGAGTATATAAGCAGCATACAGCAGTATTCTTGTATATGGTCAGTATGGGGCATTGCTTGGACTCTTTCAAGTGTTTTGACTCTGTTATCTGGCTTCTGATCACTGTACTCAAACAAATGTAACACCAGCACTCTGGACTTTGACTTGCTTTGATGAGGTGACCACAGTTTATGCTGCCAGTTACCTAACCAACCAAAACACATTACCTTTCCTAATAATGGAGCACAGCTTTCCTATACTGTTAACAATTACTCAAACCTCTATCAAACATAAACCAGATTGCTCATAATGTGAATCTGTTTAGCTAATTGACATACTCGTTTAAAAAGCACAATACCTGTACTCTGCTTATAATACAAAGTAAGGGTAGTGTTAAATAAGAGGCATCAAAAGCTAATTCAGCTTGCTGAGCATGTCATTATCCTTTACATGCTATGCCACCACTTGATGTGTGAGTTTGTAAGTTTTGATTTTTCAGCAACCTAAAACTTACCCATGGATCTCTGATAAGCTGGTGAGGTTTGGAGCTCCTCCAGTAAAATGAACCTGTTATTTTTTTCAAGTATGGGCAAAAAAGTCCATATACTCTTTTAATTTGTCAAGCTGCCTTTTCCTACAGAGCACCACCAGAACTCCTGAACATCCTATGCAAATACCAACCTAAGCCTATCAAAATATGCATAGGCTTAGGCATACCCTCATTTTCAGACACTGCCTTCTGGGGGGTGTGAGAGGATGTGTGTACTCATCTCATACCCAAAGTTTGGGTTTTTAAAGTGTCCCATTTATGCATATCTGTAACAGGTTTGATTTCACCCCCACCAATCCCCAGCAGTACATGCTTACTTTTTCTTCACTCTTCCAACACTCTGTTCAGCATATAAAACCTCAATTCCCCCCCCAAAAAATGGGATGTTGTGTAAAATCAACATAAAAATAGAATGCAAGGATTTTCAAATCTCATATACCAATATTTTATTCACAATAGAAAATAGAAAGCATAACCAATGTTTAAACTGAAAAAATAAGGTTATTTTGAAATTGATGTCGGCAACACTACTCAAAAAAGTAGGGACAGGGCCATGTTACCACGATGTAACATCCCTTCTTCTTTTAACAGCACTTTGTAAACTTCTAGGAACTGAGGAGACCAGTTGCTGGAGTTTTGGGGGAGGAATGTTGTCCCATTCTTGCCTGATAGTTCTGGGTCTTCTTTGTCGTATTTTATGTTGCAAGATACACCTAATATTTTCAGTTGGTGAAAGCTCTGGACGGCAGGCAGGCCATTAAAGCACCCAGACCTTTCTGCTGTGAAGCCATGCTGTTGTCACAGATGCAGTATGCGGCATTGTCAGCATTGTCCTGCTGAAACATAAAAGGCCTTCCCTGAAAAAGATATCGTCTGGATAGGAGCATATGCTGCTCTAAATTCTGGATATATCTGTAATCATTGATGGTGCCTTTCCAGATTTGCAAGCTGCCCATTCCATGCTCATTAATGCACCCCCATACCACCAGGCTTTTGAACTGAGTGCTGCTAATAAGCCAGAAGGTCCCTCTCTTCTTGGCGCCCATGGTTGCCCAAAAAAATTTCACATTTCGATTTCTCTGACCACAGAACAGTTTTCCACTTTGCAGCAGACCATTTTAAATGAGCTTTGGCCCAGAGAAGACATCAGTGTTTCTGAATCATGTTCAGATATGGCTTATTTGCATGATAGAGCTTTAACTGGCATTTCTGGATGGCACAGCAATATTGCGTTTCGGCCTTTTGCACAGTAATGTCTCCAGATTCTCAGAATCTTTTGATATTATGTACTGTAGATGATGTATTTAAAGTATTTGCATTTTACATTAAGGAACATCATTCTGAAATTGGTCAACAGTTTTTAGACGTAGCTTTTCACAGACTGGTGAACCTCTGCCCATCTTTACTTTACTTCTTAGACACTCTTGCTCTCCAAGATGTTCTTTTTATACCCAATCATGTGACTGACCTGTTGACAATTAACCTAATTAGTTGCAAAATATTCTTCCAGCTCTTCCTTATTATTATTATACTTTCTTGAGTTGCTGCCATCAATTTCAAAATTACCTTATTTTTTTTCTTTGACTGGTACATTTCCTCAGTTTAAACATTTGACATGTTTTCTATTTTCTATTTCAATAAAATATTGGTTTATGAGATTTGCAAATCATTACATTCTGTTTCTAGGTAGATTCATGCACATGGTCCCATTTGTTTCTGGAATTGGGGTTGTAGATCAATCAGTATGCACAGGAAAGTCCACAGCCCTGTGTGTGAGCTACAACTCCGGAGACTCATAGCCCATACAGAGTTATGCTTTAACTCCTGGAGACTAAACCGAGTAATGGAGGAGTAAAAGGAAGCTAAGGATGGGCAAAGCAGTCATTTACTTTAAAATGGATCTAAACCCCAAAACAAAAAAAACCCATGTATTCCAGCTTCCCAGTCCTTCCATGTGGTGCGGTATTAGGTTTGCTTTTTTTTAGTCTTTTTACCTTGATTTTCATCTGGTAATCCTGCAAATAACACATTTCTTGTCCTAGGATGACAACGCTCACTCGCTAAGCTGTATCTTTAGGGGGGGCCATGGTTGACACACTAGGCTGCTACCCTAATTTGGACTACAAATGCATCTTTCTCTGTTTATGTCATTATATGGGGGCAGGGGAACTAGTAGTTTACAGAAGTTAGCTTTGACAGAAGATAAGATTATTTGTGCTTTTAGTTCAGTTTACAGAGAGGACACAGTGTTTCTTGCAATATCAACAGGCATTTATTGTATTTGCTGAAAATGTTCTTAGCCTGGAAAAAAGACAACTAATGCAGTCACCACATCTAAGGACTGGTAGGCAGCAATATATAAAATGTTTATTTTTTGGGTTGAGATACTTTATGCCTTAATGGCATGTTTAGCTGTTTGGTTGCTGTTGCCATTTCAAACACACGCAGCCTACTGTAGTTTAATCTGCAATGTATTAGTTTTGTACTTGGACCCGTCAATGGGTTTTGTTGAAGGCATATGCGAGATTCGCTGGTCTGCTATGGATACCTGCTGGCAAAAGAGAACATATAGAAAACTGCATATTATCCCACTCTCTCAAAATCAGGGGCCAAGCAAAAGCAGCATGAGAATTTATTTCACGCAGCACGGCGGTACAATACTTTATTTTTCCCCTTCGTAGCTCTAATACGCTGGCCTTCTCCTGGATGGTAAAACACAACCTCACAACCATTTGCACTCTGCCCAAATGGGATAGCTCTGCTTTTTGACCACTTTAAAGAAAAAATACCATATCCCACCTAGGAGTAAATTTAGATATCTACAACTTTCTACTTTTCTTCCACTGTAGCCTGCAACAACATATGTGTAAAACTTAATCTTCCCACTTATATTCCCAACTTCTATCTTCCATGGCCATCACTCCACACACATATGCCATTAAATGGGAACAGGAATTTCAGCAGTCTACAACATGGGACCTATAGATGGTCAAATGTTTTCAAGAACTTGGCCAATATAGCAGCAGTCGAAGCAAATTATAAACTCTTGCTGCAATGGTACCTGTTGCCAGACAGAATATCTAAAGTAATTCCCTCATATTCTGACATGTTTAAAGAGCTGGTCAACTCTTGGTATACAACGGCATATTTGGAGGGACTGTCAACTATTTTGGTCTCTTCTACTCTATTTTGAATTCTTATGGTACCAGACAGAACAATACCACAAAACCCATGGGGAGTACTTCTTTGCAAAAAAAACCAAAACAAATTGCATTAAAACATAGGTTAAACTCCTGACCCACATTTCTACCACAACAAAAAGGATTATTGCAGAAGACCTGATACTTCATGAATAACATTACTTGACTCCAAGGCCCTGCAACCTCATGGTCAGTTTAAAGACAAATTATAACATTGTCCCTGCTAGGTTTTCCATGTTACCAACCTGTTAAAACGTCCATAAAAATATTGAAATACATGTTTGCTCTTGGGATTTAAACATGGCAGCTTATCTTGTACAGTACTAACTTTGTTTTTATGCCAGCCCATGCAGGATTTATTTTAAAACAAGACAGGAAACAAAGACGTGCACCGTGTCTTTGCCTGCAAGCAAAAAGAGTTCAGTCATTTGGAAAGTACCTAGGGAGTCACCCACACAGCTTTCACAGGCCTTGGTTCCAGCTCAGGTTAAAGGAGAACTATGGGGTTAAGTCTTTTCCCCATAGTTCTCCTTAGGGTAACGGGAGGACACAAACTAGCGTCCTCCTGTCACCCTAGGCTCAGTATAACGCGAGCTGTAGCTCGCGGTATACTGAGACGCCGCAGTATACCGCGAGCAGCTGCTTGCGGTATACTGAGACGCAGCAGCTGAAGCGGATCCTGACAATTGTGCCAGGATCCGCCCAGCTGCATGCTTGACAGCTAGCTCTGCCTATCTAAAGGCAGAGCCAGCTGTACCCGCCCCCTCCCCCGTCCGTTCCGCCAGTCAGCGCTGGCGGATCGGAGCAGGGAGGGGGCAATCCAGCCCCTCCCCTGTCACGGCAGAGAGCCATGACGGGATCAAGAGGTGAGCGAACGCCGGTATGTGTTCCCTCACCTCCCGATCTACTGAGCCGACCTGTGACAGTCACATTGTCACAGGTCGGCTAGAACTATGAGGTGAGTGAAAATCACTCACCTCATAGTTCTCCTTTAAGTGGCTCGTCAGGACCTGGCGGTAGTGCTATCCAATGTGTACTTTCTATCAACCACCAAGACTTCCACATTTTCTGGTAACAAAACACAAGTCAGGTTTGCATGTTGATTGGGACTAATTTAATTGGTGAAAAACAATGTTTAAAAACAATGCATATCCACTGAACCACCCAAGAGTTAAGTCCTAGCTTATATAATTTTTTTTATGAGTAACCATATCAAATGCTTTGCTGAAATCAAGAAAGGCTATGTACACAGCACCACCCTAGTCCAAAATATTTGGGATTTAGCTATTACCTTTCTTTACTCCCACGTCATTTTCGTGCTGTTTATTCGCTTCCTCTAAAGCTTTCATCTTTTCATCGTAAACATCTGCTTGTGCCTTCCACTGAACTCTGTTATACGAAAGTCCATCAAACATTGGCGTAATTTCTTTATGAAACCGTGAAAATTCCTAAAAAATAACATCATCATCATTAAACCATACACCTAACACCAATAATAAAATATTAATAGCACATTAAGACATGTATTGATGGCAAAGGTTGGATTTTTGAACAGAAAGGTTCCAGATTTGGAACGTAAATTCTGTAAATCTTTGACCATCAAAAAGTACCTCACTATTTAAGCTTCCTACATGTTTTACAAAGAATTAAGTCTCAAAAGACAGAGATTCCCCCAGAGCCTGATCATCCACAAGGCGACCAAGGGAGAATCCTTGGTTTGTTGGATGTCTAGGGGCCCAGATACAACCTTCATGCTCCTGTAGTTAAACCAGGAAAAAGCGCATGGGTTAAGTCACATCTCATCGCTGCAAGTTAGCTCTAATTGCTGTCATGGGTTTTGGTTCTGATCTGTTTCCTGAATATTCATTCTTCCTGCTACAGCAAGATTCTTCTCAGTTGTTCCCAAATCTTCTGCTGCACTCTCCTTAACCTAACATTTCATTTAGAAAATCCTAACATTTCATTTAGAAAATCCAGCAGGTATATTGGGAGCCCATTCCAATTGCTAAGCAGGAATAGTGTATAAATCTAGGTAGTTTGGCTCTTAATCATCTTCCAAACATCAAAGACCTATTCACAGCAATCTGTTTATATCGACGTGTAATAAAGTCTGTTTTATTGTGCGTTAATGCAATGCGCAGTGAAGCATAGGATATGTGCATTGCCATTGCAAGGGCAGAGATGTGAATTCTCTGTTGTGGTGCAGTGTGTTACCAAAAAAAAATAGGTATTTTTTTGTGCATTGAGTCACTTTGATTGCCTGGAATGCCTTAACACACTAAACGCGTGTTAATGTGTGTTTTATTACACACATAGCGATGTAATGGGTCCCAAGTTATTTGTTTTGGATGAATTGAATCTTTAATGAACATTTGCATCCTAACAAAGTAGCCTTTCAACACAGCAAAAATACGCTTTTTATTCATCATGGAATATAACCTTTATGTGTTAAGGGAGCCATCAGGATTGGACAAGGCATAGACCAAAGAGGTAGCAGACTAGATACAACCCTGTCACTGCTCAGAGAAATGAATGGTCTTGTTCTGCATCTTCTGCACTTTGCCCTTATCATGGGTGCTGCTAATCTTTTCTCTGATATTGGTCACATGATTTGTAAATGCTCTGTGTTCCTAGTAAAAAGTTTGCATTATTTGTCTCATCATTTTTTCTAAGTGATTTATTTTAAAGAACTCACCTTATACACAAATGTACATACAAAGTCAATAAAGCCAACTTGAAGCTTAGGCAGTTCTTCAGCTTTGTTCCTGTCCATCATTGGCTGAAAGAGAAAAATAAAATACCCAAATGTGTAAAGAGTACCCCCATCCTTATAGCGCCAGCAATATCCTAAGTATTAAAGTGTATCTATACTTTGTTGTTTTTTTTTTTGTGTGGAAGTGTTGAAACCCATTCGGTTTTTATTGTTCTGTCCCTGCTAGCGAGATATTTGCTCTCAATATGTTTTGTTGATCATTGTCACCAGAACAGAAAGTAATACAACATGTTATAGTTATCACTGTTACAGGAATAGAAGAGAGATCTTCCAGTGGGACACTTCTGTGTCACTAACTGCTTAGCTTCTATCTAAGAGGAGAGGATTGGAGACATTCATTCACACTTCTTGTTGTATCTCTTGGACAGGAAGTGAAGGGAAATCTCCCCAACTGGACATGCATCTAAAGAAAAATAAATTAAAATTAAAAAATCCAATGGGTTTTAACCATTCCCTACTCTAGAGTGGTTAAAGCTCCTTAGTGGGTACAAGGAAGGCAGTAATAAAACTGTCAAACTTTCTAATCCTTCACTCTATTAAAAAGTGCATTGATTGTAGTGTGTTCACACATGGCAGCTTTCCAATCACTTCCTATCCTGGTGACACCTATTTCTGGGATAACAGCCTAATTTAAAAAAAAAAAAAGTTGCCAGCTCCTTTAATAGGCTGTTGGGATTTCTTTTTGATAGACCCTAAGGGCATCCCAGCGGCCAACTGGAGTAGTGCATATGGCAGCCTGACAACGCCACTACTAATTTCCAGGCAGTGGCTTAGCGTTAGCCTGCAACAGGAAGTGCTGTTAGTTGCAGGATCCTCAGGTAAGGATCTTTGAAACAGATTTTAAAAAAATGATTTGCTTAAAGCAGACCTTTCACCCCTCCCACAGCCTCCTGGGACATTTACTGGGCCCCACGTCGCAGAAGGTTACAAATTGGTATATAGCTGACACCTATGCAGGCAGTAAAATCTCACATTACAGTACTTTGGCACTTACCAACTTGCAGCCTCCTGGGACATTCACTGGGCCGCACATCCCAGAAGGCTACAAATCGATAAGTGTTGAAGTGTAGCAAGATTTCGCACCTGCATAACTGACACCTATGTGGGCATAAAATCTCCCAATACTCCGCTACATACCAACCAGAAGCCTTCTGAGATGTGTGATGTGAGTGTCCCAGGAGGCTGCGGGCGCCTGGAAGTACGTCACTCTTGCCTAGGCAAGAAGTGACTAAGTAGGAGGATGGAGGGGTAATATTACACTATATACAGGTCACAAAACATGGAAACTCTTAACAATTGTGTAATAGAGATGAGGGAGAAAGGAAATGTTCACTTTAAGAAAGCTGTTTACAGTGATATCTGATGTCAAACATACTGATGAAAAAGCCTTTAGGTTTACATACACTTTACTCTTAAAAAATTGACTTTTAATGAAAAAAAGACCTACTGCTGAATTAGGAATATAAAGGAGTCTATTGGTTAATCCCAAAATTCAGGACTTAAACCTTAAAAATGCATTCAAGTACCTTAACTATTAACAAAAAAATGTATCTTATTTGTGTATCACTCGGCTGTAGATCCTCAAATCATCTCTGAATTGGTGCTGACACTGTCCTTCCTTCCAGAGGGTGGCTACTTTTGTTCCCGATAGTCCCTGTGTGTGTTGTAAAGTAGTCACCACTCCAAGCTCGCTCCCGTAATGGACTACAATCTCATGTTTCCTCTACAAATTTGTATTGAGATTGTAGTCCATCACACGAGTGAGCTTGGAGCGGTGGATACTTTACAACACACACAAGGACTATGGGGGAACAAAAGTAGCCCCCCTCCAGAAGGAAGGACAATGTCAGCACCAATTCAGAGATGATTTGAGGATCTCCAGCCGAGCGGTGCACAAAAAAGATAGTTAAAAATAGTTAAAATACTTGAATGTATTTTTAAGGTTTAAGTGTAACTTTAACTTTGTAAAAAATAAAGTGTAAAAATTATTCCACAGATTGAGAATTATTGTCTGGAATCTGTCAGCTATAACTGAGTCCATCCACATTGGATCTCAAACTCAATCATATCCATTTGCTGATCCCTGTCATGCAAAGCCCGGTCCTACCAGAAATCTTATTGCACAATATGGTAAATTATGATTGGCTTACAATAGGCTGCTGCTGAAGCACCGTCCTCTCCAAGTCTCCTTGCTCCCAGAATTCATTAGCAACCATAAGAGCCACCTAAACATAAATCATCGTTAGCAGTTTATCAAATGTGTAAAGATAACAAACAAGAATACTGTTTTATTGCTGCATGTCTCCCTGTAAAGAAGATTTCCCTTCTGTTATTGTGTAGTCACTGGGACAGGAAGTAAAATCTCCCCATCAGAAACAAAAGCAACAGTAGAATGTGACAATGGTTGTAACCATTCCCCAGTTTACAATAAAATAACATTTGGTTGGAGATCTCACTTAATAAGTGTATGAATTTGGTCCTACAGGAAAGAATTTGAGTTGTCAGCTTCTCGCAGTTTTATTTGCTTTATCTTTCCGCTTCCTTTGCCTAGGACTCTGAATAAGCCTCTTCAACAAGAAAAAAAGGCATCTGGGTAAGTACCATATTAACATGGCAGGAATTAAGTGAGAGTCTTATCCTCTGGGCCTAACCGGGATTACACAGTTTATGATAAAGTATAACTCCTCTGTGTGGACAGAAGTGTTTTGGCTTGATTTATGTGGTCGCCCCGTGCAATAATTTCACTGGAACACAAGGTAGTAAGTCCACATGAAACCTATTTGTATATATTTCCCAGAGAAAACTGCTACTCTGCATGTACATAAAGTCAGCTTGTGAGGCTGTACAGTACAAATGGGAGCCCCCATTGCTGACTTGACTGTGAGGATGGTGTGCAGGGAATCCAACCTGAAAAAAGTCATTTCAGGGAGGTGTTGAGGTGCTCTCTGTGTGTCCCTCCCCCCATCCACAGGGGGGGGGCACCCCCCTGAAATGATGGCAGATAGCAAAGATGCTAATACTTTCCTTGCTATCTGCTGTTTTGGTTTTTCTTTAGTATTCTGACACCTGCTGCCGTCAGAATTCAAAAAAATAAACAGCATAAGAATGGATAGCTGGATTGCTATTGGCTATTTCAATTTGCAATAGCCAATAGCAAGCTGGCTATTGCACCCACACTCTGCTGCTGTCAATCAGAAGTGGAGGACCTGATGGAGAACTTTAAGTCCACCTCTGCTGATTGATAGCAGCAGTGGGCGGGTGCAATAGCTAGTCAGCTATTGCAAATTGAAATAGCCAATAGAAGCCTAGCTATTCATTCCAATGTTGGGTTTTGTTCTTTTTTCTGACTGACGGCAGCCGTGGCCACGATGTCATAGAGCAGAGTAAACTTTCTGGGAGAAAATGTTTATCTCCCGGACACCGCTATCTAATAGCGGGAGACTCCCAGAATGTCCGGGAGAGTTGCGATGCCTGGGTGTGTGTTCTACGAACATGGAGGACTTAGTTAAAGACATACACTTTAAGCCATAGAGTACAAACACAACAAAAACAGGCATATAGCCTGGTGGCGGCTTTTAAGGTATGCAAACAAGGCCTTCAATTAAAACAAAATAAACTTTATTAATAACAATTAAAACATGGTAGCTAAAAAATCACAAAGTCAGCCATGAAGTACATATGGTATATATAAGCTCCAATATTTGAGTATCGATTCCACAATGACTTAAATGCAGTTTGAGAACCCCACTGCAAGGGAGGTTTTGAAATGTCCCCAGAGTTCAGCTTTAAATAAGAAAATAATAAATGATTGGTGTTGTACAGAAGCAATAGAATACAGCAATTAGAATTACTTATAGATAGATTCTTCCAAATAGGTGGCTAGATTTCTGCAAGATGCCAAAATATTTGTATTGAATCTTTTCCTCATTTAATTTATTTGTGAAGATGGTTTGCTTAACCCACCTGACTCTGTACCTCCCATGGCTTAGTGATAGCAGACAAGTCACATCCTGTCATCATCATGGCCCTGCAGAAAAACAAATACTTTAAATTCTTATACAAATTATCCTTTTTTTTTTTCCTGGGCGTTTGATTGTTGAACTCACATGATTATCTCTTTTTTCGTTGGGTCGGCGATAATATATTTTATCACTTCTTCTTCTGATTGCATCTGCTCGGTCGTATCAACTATTTTTTGGAACATAGTTCTTTTCCTGTGAAACAAACAGAAGGGAGTGTCAAAATATTCAACTTAATGCTATGGCTCTTAACTGGTGGGTAGTAGGTCGCAACCCCGTGTTCAGTGGGTCACCGCTTGCCTTCCACTGTGCAAGCTGAGACATTCCTCAGCCACCTCCAAGGGCAGCACTGTCAGTTTTCGCAGCCATTAAAAATATGCTCCCTAGTGCTGAGTGTCAGCTTGAGGTGAGGTGGTCTGAGGGTATGGCCACGAAGGAGCTCCGTCCATACGTCCATTGCTTGTACAGTTTCCTGACGTGCCCTGTAGAGGTGCCTGGACTGGAGTGACTTCACATTCTAGCTCCCAGCACCTCTACATGCCGTGGCCACGATGTCATAGAGCAGAGTAAACTTTCTGGGAGAAAATGTTTATCTCCCGGACACCGCTATCTAATAGCGGGAGACTCCCAGAATGTCCGGGAGAGTTGCGATGCCTGGGTGTGTGTTCTACGAACATGGAGGACTTAGTTAAAGACATACACTTTAAGCCATAGAGTACAAACACAACAAAAACAGGCATATAGCCTGGTGGCGGCTTTTAAGGTATGCAAACAAGGCCTTCAATTAAAACAAAATAAACTTTATTAATAACAATTAAAACATGGTAGCTAAAAAATCACAAAGTCAGCCATGAAGTACATATGGTATATATAAGCTCCAATATTTGAGTATCGATTCCACAATGACTTAAATGCAGTTTGAGAACCCCACTGCAAGGGAGGTTTTGAAATGTCCCCAGAGTTCAGCTTTAAATAAGAAAATAATAAATGATTGGTGTTGTACAGAAGCAATAGAATACAGCAATTAGAATTACTTATAGATAGATTCTTCCAAATAGGTGGCTAGATTTCTGCAAGATGCCAAAATATTTGTATTGAATCTTTTCCTCATTTAATTTATTTGTGAAGATGGTTTGCTTAACCCACCTGACTCTGTACCTCCCATGGCTTAGTGATAGCAGACAAGTCACATCCTGTCATCATCATGGCCCTGCAGAAAAACAAATACTTTAAATTCTTATACAAATTATCCTTTTTTTTTTTCCTGGGCGTTTGATTGTTGAACTCACATGATTATCTCTTTTTTCGTTGGGTCGGCGATAATATATTTTATCACTTCTTCTTCTGATTGCATCTGCTCGGTCGTATCAACTATTTTTTGGAACATAGTTCTTTTCCTGTGAAACAAACAGAAGGGAGTGTCAAAATATTCAACTTAATGCTATGGCTCTTAACTGGTGGGTAGTAGGTCGCAACCCCGTGTTCAGTGGGTCACCGCTTGCCTTCCACTGTGCAAGCTGAGACATTCCTCAGCCACCTCCAAGGGCAGCACTGTCAGTTTTCGCAGCCATTAAAAATATGCTCCCTAGTGCTGAGTGTCAGCTTGAGGTGAGGTGGTCTGAGGGTATGGCCACGAAGGAGCTCCGTCCATACGTCCATTGCTTGTACAGTTTCCTGACGTGCCCTGTAGAGGTGCCTGGACTGGAGTGACTTCACATTCTAGCTCCCAGCACCTCTACAGGGTGCACAAGGGAGCTGTACAAGCAATGCACATATGGATGTGCATTGCTTGTACAGTCCACACTGGACCCCAGGCTGAGGATCCACTCGAGTTCTCGTAAGGTAGGGAGACTGGTTGGATCTTAAAGAAAAAAAAAAATTTTTGGAGTATGTATGTGTGAGTGTGAGAATGTCTGTGAGTAAGTGAGATTGTGTCTTTGGTTGTGTGTGTCTGTCAGTGTTTTTGGGGGCCCAATCACACTACTACAGTGTGTTAATCATACCATGCAATCATACCTATTGCGCGTTTTGGTCCAAGAGGTGAGTTACGTTGCCATTTATTTGAATGTCACCCCGAACGCACCTCCCACCCACAGTTTGATGGCCTGCACCAGAACACGCGGTACCGCAATGCTTTGCATTCCAGTTTGGTGTGACTTGGGTCACGACTTAATGACCAAGGACAAATGTGGGTTACACAGGTTGAGAACCACTGACAAAGTATATCTAAAGCTAACATTTTGTTTTAATTTTGGATAGAGTCAGAGAGGTTTTTTATTTGCCATCTGTCTCGCATTATGGAGATTTCCTTTCACATCTTCTCTTGTGGATTCAAGGGGAAGAAGACTTCTTTCACATGTGAGGGAAATGTCCTCTTAGACAGTTGTCATAGGAACAAGTTTTCAATTTGCCCTCACTTTCGTTGCTGGTGACATTGGTGATCAGGAAAATAATAGAAAGTAGCCCTGCGCACGGCATACAAATTTGTTTTCTGATGAAACGAATTGAAACGGAAAATATTTCCATTCATTTCATCAAAGAAAACAAATGTGTCTGCTGTTTCAGATTCGGAGGCAACGAGCCTCTGAATCCGAAAACGTATGCTGAAAATGAGGAACGAGCGGCAGCCATTTCGGCCGCCGGCTTGTTCTGCGCTTACGCGCCATCTTTGTGTATACTAGGATTTACTCAAAGATGGCGGTGCGCTGGCGCAGAACGATATTGCCACCGCACATTCAGCCTGTGATGTCACACACAAAATGCAGAACGAGCGGTGGCCATGTTGGCCGCCAGCGCGTTCTGCGCTTGCGCGACGCCATCTTTGAGTGTATCTTGGTATACACCAAGATGACGGCGCCCGTATGTCCGAGAACCGCCATCATGGTGTATACCAAGATATGCTCAAAGATGGCAGTGCACCTGCGCAGAACGCGCCGCGCTTTCTGCACACAAATTTATGTATGCCCGAATATAGTTTTAGTGTATTTGGGCATATAATACATTTGTTATTTCGGATTCGGACGAACCGCCAAGTCAACTGAATTTCGTTGATTTTGCAGGTTCGTCCGAATGCACATGTATAATAGAAAGTGAATCTCTCTAACACAGTAATATAAACCTGATAGGGTTCTACCCCCCTCACTACCACATACACACGCACACCACACACTATACTATCCAAAACTAAATATATTTGTTTTTCCAGTACTCACCGATACCGACTACCGATGCTGCGTGCCCAGATAATCAGGAAGTTGGGCGGCGGATCATGGCCCGGCTTCCTGATTGCCTGTGAACCCGGTGGTGTTCTAGCGAAAAAATGCTGGCTCACTTGCCAAGGCTGCCTGGCTTCCTGACCAATCAGGAAACCGGGCAGCAAGTCATTAGGTGCTGTCCGGCATCCCGATTGATCAGGAAGCCAGGTTGCCTAGCAACAAGTGAAGCCGGCTTCCTAGCCAATCATAAAGTCGGGGGGCGGGTCATAATTCCTGATTGGAAAGGAAGCCGGCTCCATGCTCCCTCGGTACTTGCCCTCAGAGGGAGACCCCCCTCTGACTGGAAGTTCTGGTATCGGAGGTACCTATTAGAGCATTTGGGCGAGTACTTGCCCAAATACTCGATCTCAGTACCGATACTAGTATCAGTATTGGTGCATCCCTACTAGGTCTGCAAGACTTCTTAGCAAAATTTATTATTGTACTAATGTAAAACCACTCATCGTACTAACAATTTACCTGATTCAGAATAAAAATCTGCTGTTTGTGACTTGTACCAATGTACTTACTTGAAATACAATGCCAGATCCGTTGCTATGATTGCCACTTCAAACAAATGGATAACATTTTCAAACTGTCTTTGGTTTAGATTCTGGAATATGTTTAAAGTCTGAAAAAAAAAAGAGTTGCTTTAGGCGCATGTCACACTGCCGATTCTACCACTGGTGAAGCCTAGGCAGCATGCAGCTGACACTTTACCTAATGGAAGTTGTCCCCTCTTTGGCTAAAATGCTGCTGAATTGCATTTGCTAGTGAAGGAACAGTAACAGAATGACATCTCTCTGGTTCAGGAAGTGAGGGAGTGATACCATAGAAAAAGATAAGTGGACTCAGAGACAGCAATAGAAATCCGAAAGAGTTAATTAAGTTACCCCATGCAAGCCAAACAAGAAGACATTTTTTTTTCTTCAACTGTGCTTGTGTGTTTGGATGATGTAAATCTCTTAAAGCACCTTCTTGACAGTGGATATCTCAGGGGGTAATGACAGTACACACTCACCTCATCTTCTAAGAGTGTTTTGCTGAACTCTAAGTGGTGCCTCTCTAGGATTGAAGACCCATGTAGCCTGGCTAGAGGAGCCTGTGATCTGGAGACAAATGTGCATGTTATATACTGCATGTATTATGCAACTGGGGGCCTACAGAATATGAGAACCTGATCACTTACTTCATTTGGTACAAATTGTTGGTCCCTCTATGGTCAATATCATGACAAAAAGCAGCAGCCACCATGGCGAAGGCTTCTAAATCAGAATAATATTTCTTGAGTTTACCTGTCTTTGGAAAATGAATGGGCATTTCATTAAACATGTTGGAGAAACAGGTTCAGGCTTACAGTCAGCTAAACATGCACACATAATTCAATTGGCAATAGGCTTCAGTATATCTATATAAAGAAGTAAACTGGGCTTGGTAAACCATTCATATTTATGTTTCAAGAACTTTCGATGCCAGTTTAGCACAATTCTATTACACGTAGGCTTAAGTCGCTCCTTGAGATCAATGAACACTCGGCTTGGTCAACCATCTAATTTATGCTATGAAGAGGGGATGGTGAGCATTCTACAAGACAGATTGCTTTCCTTCCTTCCTTCCTCTTTCCATAGCATACACATGAATAGTGGACCAAACTGAGTTTTCATAGATCAGAGGGAGGGAGCATTAGCAGGGATCTTAATAAGTGGTTTAACCATCGCCCAGGTATCTCTCTGACGGGACGGATAAATGTAATTAAAATGACAATATTACCTCGGATATTATACACATTGCAAACCATCCCGATCGCACTGCCCAGGTACTATCTACGTGCTCTTACGTCGGTGGTTAGAAGGTATATCTGGAGAAGGTCTCCCGCCAGGATCTCCCACGGAGTTCTTATTAGGACTAGAAGTCAGGAGGGATTAACACTGCCAGATTTTAACTGCTACTACCAGGCTGTTGCTCTTAATAGAATGTTAGACTTTCACTTCCACATGAAGACTAAACGATGGGTGGAATTAGAGAATTCTCTTGCTAATCAAAACATACTCACTATTTGTTGGATACCACAGGAACACTGGAATTTACACTCCTTAATTTCTCCACTCACTTCCCAAACACTATGTATATGGAATGCACTATATAATCAGACGATTGGCCAACACAACTCACCTATAATGCCAGTAACTGGCCACACGTTTTTCCTACCCGGATTACACAACTCGGGTTTTCTTAAATGGACTGCTCACACTAGTCTAAAACTTTTCCAGGTGTGTGAAAAAGATAAGCCACTTTCACTTGAAACCCTTAGGGAACAATGGGGAACTTACCCTTTAGACACATGGAGACATAGGCAACTATCACATTTTATTATGTCACTCGCAAAGCCATTGCGTACCACTTCTGAGCTTACACCACTGGAGAAACTATTTTCCTCTTTGGAACCCCCACGACATGGGATATCGCATTTATATACGATCCTACTAGATCTACAGACTAATGCGTTCCCACCATATTTAAGACAATGGGAACAGGACTTGAAGATCACTTGGTCCAATGCACAGAAACAAAAAGTCCTAAATCTCAACGCCACTACATCTATTAGTACTCTGGTGACCGACACTACGTTCCGCTTTTTGGCACGTTGGTACTACACTCCAGATCGTATACATAGAATGCACTCATCTCGGTCGGAGCTATGTTGGAGACAATGCGGTGAAGTAGGCAACTACATACATATGTGGTGGTCCTGCCCGCGAATACAACCTTTCTGGGTGCAGGTGGTAGACCAGATAGAGCAGATTACCACAGTTATATTACCCTTGGACCCATCGGTGTGCCTCCTCCACCTCATGGACTTTCCGACTCCGATCTTTAGGGGATCACTGATAACCCCCTTATTGAACGCTGCAAAGACTTTAATACCACTATACTGGAACCAAACCACTATCCCAACTATAAGAGAGTGGTATAACAGAGTTGAATATTATAGACTGATGGAGGAATTGACGTCCATTCGTAGAAATACCCTCAAAAAAAATGAAGCTACATGGCGAGCATGGAATGAGTTCAGAAGATCTCCGGGAAACCTACAAGATATCAGATAGACCCATATAGGAGAACACCATCCGCCACACGGGCACAGAAGATGAAATAAACGCTGACCATTAGATCTAGAGTACTAGGAAAGGCAGAACCTAGGCACTGGGTAACGAGGATAGCAACACTAATAATAAATCTCTCTATAAATTAGAAATATGGTGAAGAAAGCCGGACGACTACCCCCCCTCCCTTCTTTTCCCCCTTCTTTTTCCTCTTTTTCTTTTTCTCTCTTCTTCTTCTTTTTTGCGTGTTTATAGTTGTATATGGTCAGTAGCATTAATATGTGAAATGACCAGATGTAAATGTTTGTATGTCGAAAGAAACAATAAAAATTGAGTAATTAAAAAAAAAAGGAGGGAGCAATAGTGACAATTCCAACAGCCACTATTCTGTGAAGAACTGTCACAGGGTACGTCTGGCAGTGTCCATAGAAGATAATTGCCTAATGCTTCCATAGATTGCCAGATTATGTCACTGTCATCTCATGTCAATGCTAACCAACTTCCTTTATAGAATTTCCATATGAGTGAGAAAGTGGTGTTCCCAAAATACAATATCACTAGAGCATTTTAAATCCCAACTCCAGTCAATAATTTATTTTTAACTTTCAGAGTGCAAGAGTGTTAGGACTTCAATTTCACCTCATTTCTTTTTGGGATTGCAAGTGATGAGAAATCTGACTGACTGTCCTATCGGCACAAATATTGTCAATTTCTTTAGCCATTCCTTCAAATTTGGGCAAAAAGGTTTTATCTGTGAAAACTACTTTAATTAAAACATTACATACCATTAGCAGTGTGAACATGGTTTGTCCAACATTGAACCCATGTCGCCAGTTGTGATAGGTGATGTCCCGATACCCTTTCCTCACGGTGTACATCCATCTTGTTAAGACCTAATAACAGAACAAGATACACTTTTTATGTGACTTCTAGTTTCCCGTATCGTTGGTGATGATGCTTAGCTGAACCTTGGCTTGATGAAACATTAGCAAAATGTTTTCCTACATACAGATACAGAAGCAAATAAAAATGGCTCAGTGGTTAGCACAGCAGTGTTCGCTGTGCTGTGGTCCTGTGTTGCCACCAAGAACAATATTTGCATGGACTCTTGTATCTTCAAGTGCTCCAATTCTTTTTCACAAACAGGGTTAACTGACTTCTGAGACAACCGACCCTTAAATGTTTGTGTTTTTATTTTTGGTGTGACGCTGTAAGTAAAGGACTGATGTGGATTGGTGATTTCTGCTATTTATAAGGGCAATAAATAACATAAAACATACATGAAAGCAATTAAATTATTTTTCACCCACCAGCTTATACTGTCATGCAGCTAGTTGTGTCTTAAAATAATTGCAGGTTGTCTCTAAAAATACTTTACCTAATGCAGTTTCCTTATTTCCTTTTTTCCTTACTAGTTTGTGATTACTGTCACAGAAACAGAAAACAGTATAGAAAAATGGTTTTCAAGAGAAGACTTGCAACTTTTTCCTGAAACAACAGACTGAAAGCATCAGGGGTGGATAAGCCACCGGAGAATGGTATCATTTTCCAAAGCTTTTGATAACGACTTTGTTGCCAAAAAAAAGGGGGAAAAAGCACCCTAGAAAAGTTATCACCAGCCTGGCAGCTGGGGACTCATCTTTATTCTCTAGTAAAGCTACAGCAGCCAAACAAACTTCAGTATCTGACGTGTCTCCAGATTTGTGGTTCCACACTGTGGTTTCACTCGCCAGCCACTATTTCCCTACAGCTCTACAAGAGCAAAGCAGTGACGTAGCAAGTGCTAAGCATTATAACACTTCTTTAGCAGGTGACTTTTTAAAAAAAAAAGTTCTGGCAAGAGAGTTCCTTTCATTTGCTTTCAGCATGTATTCTTGTTTAACATAGCTGTTAAATTTGCGTAGTTATTCCACATATCAAGAATACATTTAACCTTTACCAAAAAATCTTTTAAATTAAAAACAGAACATTGTCCAACACTAGCCCAGCAAAACCCACATTGATATGGCAATACTTACATCCACAGGCACCTTAAACTTTTCAATGGCTTTAAGCTCAACAAACAGCCTGATGCCACTCTTAATGAGCTCATGTTCCGTCACCGGGAAGTCGCTGAAGCGGAATTCATAAAGTTCGAGAGCTGCTGGGTCTGGCAATTCCTCTTTCTGTTCAATGGACGACAAATATATGTCAAATTCCTTGTTCAAAACATTTTGCAAGTGCATGAATAAATGATGAAAATTCCTTTTAAAAATTATTATAGATC